AAAATATATATATATACACATATATTAGTATCACCATGATTTTTTTTTTTTTCTTGAGGAGACAATAAATCTTTTATCTTATTTATCTCTATCTCACTATTTTTTTTTTCCTTTTTACTGTTTGCGTTTTTTTTTTCTTTTTTTTTTTTTTGCATTCACCCCTTATTAAACAATACACAACAAGAGCAACACAATCGAATCCTCACTATAATCGAAACTGAAGCCCCTTTGAGTCGTAGAGTAAAATGTTCGGTAAAGTTTGTTTTGAAGAAGATTGGTCTATTATACTTTCCTGCATATTTCTTACCGCTTTAACAAAGTAATCGGTTTGATGGGTTGGCACTACAATACCTATAGCTATTATATCCCACATTTCTAGTGGATTCATAACTCTACGCATCACATGGTACATCTGCACATGAATAGGAATAAAGGCATCTACTCGAAAGAATTCCATCATCGTTGTCGTCGTCGTTTCTTCATTTATACTATCTTTAGAAATAGGTATAGATACAGGTATAGGAAGTGATAACGTCCCTAGAAGAGGATCATAAGCATCGGGTTCATTATTATTTTTCCTCTCAGTAGTTGTACTATTATTATTATTATGAAGATGGGATGAAATAGGAGCCAAACCCGGTGCAGAGACTTGACCACGTTGCGAAACCGCATTCAAATAAGTTTGCCACGCCACTTTCCAACTTTCATGCTGCAGAAGTGGACGTTCCTGTGAGAATCCACATGGACGCAATAATGTCTTTATGAATGTATGGTTAAGATTTTCTCTATATATCTGTGGAAATGATTGTTTTTGTGAATAATATCCTTGTTGTTCATATCGGTATTTTAATAATTTGTGTAATTCCTCATACAGGCATGGGCAGACGGTGTGATAAAAGTACGGTAGTGTGATCGTGCCGCTACTACCAATGTCTATGAGAAGAGGACAAACAAGTCGGCGTCGCGACAATGTCATTCACTCTCGCTGTTCATACCTTTATTATTATTATTATGAAGATAATTTCCTTTTTCTTTTGGGTTTTACTCCTGCAAGAGACTGCAGGCTTAAAAGAGAAAATAAAAAAAACAGAAAAAAAAAAAAAAAAAACATGACCCCTCTCTCTCTCTTTCTCCCTTTCTCGGGATAGATAATCCATATGATGATACCCTGTCTATCAAAAGATTACCCTCTCGTTATTCATTATACACAAACACACAAACACACACAGAAAAGAAGAAGATCATCATTAACAATAAAAAAAAACAATCCCCCTTCTAATCCACCAGGTGTTCCAACTCCTCCGCTGTTAGTGGAGTAGTGATAGCCGCAACAATGGGTTTCACAACCTCCAGAAACTCTTCCACATCCACGCGTACTTTACAATCCACATGACCTCCACCCATCCAAAATACAGGCGGTGATAATTGTGTAATGCGATCACTTAAAATAACTGGAATTTCAGTGGTTGTACCAAATGGAGCTACAGCACCATGTGAGAATCCTGTCAAATGCAGAGATACTTCAGGATCTGCAAGGCGAAAATTAAATTTCTTTTTTCCCAATCCCTCATTCATATCTTTTACACAACGCATAACGAATTCAGCATCAAATTTCTCTGTATAAGGGTAAACAATGATATAATAACGTGAGTTCTCACGGTGACTGCAATCTTTATGAATACAATGTGTATTTTCCAGTACAATAGACTTACATAGATGTTGAATAGAATTAGCCTCGAGAATATCACGGCGCCATTGTAGTGAGTGTTGATAATAATCGGATGGAACCCAACGGAAAACGGCACTGTAGAGATGATGTTTTAAACACCACTGTCGTAATGCCGCTACTTGTGGGGTATCCCGCTCACACGGCTGCAGTTCTTTTAATTCACACGGATCACGATACCGTGATGTTGATACTGCTGCTGCTGCTGCTGGAGTGGCGGTATTATTATTATTGTTATTATTATTATCATTAGAAGTAGTGATACGTTTTAACGCTTTGTGCAGCTCTTCAATACTCTTCTCGATAGATGTATACCTCGAGGCAAGGGCTGCAATTCGTGTTTCAACACTTGTTGACATTATTTCTTTTTTTTGATTACTTGCTTTGTTTTTTGTTTCTTTTTTTTTAATTTAGTAGTAGTTACCCTTTTTTCGTTGTTGTTGCTGCTCTTCCGTTTGGTACTATTTACGCTTTTCTTTTCTATTTGACTGCCGAAGAGGTGAAGGGGAATGAGTATAGTATAATATAGTACGGTACATCCCCGCAGTTAAATAGACACCCAGCCATTCATTTATGTAATATATATATATATATATATATATAGGATAGATAACGAATATAGAAGCAATGACTAAATGTAATGCGCACAATCTCGCATAATCAACAATAACAATAATAACAAGAATAAGAACCCTTTCCAAAGAAATACAATATAGTATCAACGTACACATACACACAAACAGATATATATTTAAGAAAAAGAAAAAAAAAATAAAATAAATATATGATCTATCACACCATCAATCCATTACGGTGTTAGACGTTTCGGATCTCGAGGAAAGAGTGAGACTTGACGAATATCTTTTGCCCCAACTAAGAAAAGTGCAATCCGCTCTAATCCCAATCCAAACCCACCGTGAGGCCACGCCCCATATCGAAAGGCATCCACGTAATCTTTCATATCCGCTGGATCTGTTCCTTGTTGTGTAATCTTCTCTAATAATAAGATCGGATCATGTACACGTTGGGCCCCACTGCAGATCTCTTCTCCGCGAATATACATATCAAAACTACACGTTACCCCTTCTTTAGATGGATGTGGCATCGTGTAGAAAGGTCTGGTACTACTTGGGAACTGATCTACAATGTACATATCTACACCATAACGTTCCCACACTAATTCCCCAAGACGACGTTCTTGTGGAAGAGTAAAATCTGTTATCGTTTGTTCACATACATTGTGATCGTGTAAGAGTCGTACCGCATCTTCAAAGGTGAGGCGTAATACTTTTCGTGGTCCACTACCAATACGTGCATTATATTTATCAAGTGATGCTCCCTCTCTTGATATGGTTCCATTATCTACGGGTAAAGCATAAGTGGCTATCGTCTCTGCAGAAACTTCACAAATAAGAGGAGAAGTTAAATGACGTCGTGATGTACTTTGTTGTTGTTTTTCTTCACTGTTATTATTATTATTATTATTATTATTATTATTATTATTATTATTATTATTATTAGGATTATTGTTGGAGTTTGTATTTTCATTGGCATCTATTTTAGTTAATGATTCCTGAATCTGTTGTAGTAATACGGCATGTTCACTTTGAATATGATAAAGCATTCCACACATAATAGTTTCCAACACATCCAATACTTCTGTATAGACGTTTGCAATCACAAACTCCGCATCTAAACCAATAAACTCTGTGAGATGTCTGTGTGTGAGACTCTTCTCCGCACGAAATACCGGACCAATCTCAAATACCCGCATAGCATCACCCATGATAGACATTTGTTTATATAATTGAGGTGATTGGGCAAGATAGGCAGATTGACCAAAATAATCTAATCCAAACACCGCACTTCCTCCTTCTGAGGCAGTTCCAATGAGTTTCGGTGTATGAATCTCTACAAAGTCATTTGTAAGTAATTCATTACGAAAACTCTGACAAATGACGGATACTATACGCATCATAGAAGCAGTTAGTGGTGTACGCATATCTATAATTCGATGATTTAGTCGTGTATCGAGTTTGGTATTCCAATCTTTTAATGGAAATGGAAGAGGTGTAGCAGATCGACTAATCACATGAATTTCTTCTGCATGAAGTTCATAATGTACACACGTTGTAGATGTGATTGGACGTTCAGCATGTTTAATAATACCCGTTACTTCAATAATAGACTCTGGTGTGATGGCCTTTACCACTTGAACAATACTTCCACCTGAGGCCACAACTTGTATAGAGTGAAAGGGTGGTTGACGAAGATGTAAAAAGGCAAGTTTCCCACGAATACGTGAGGCTTCCATACGTCCACGCATAGTCATTTTATGCATTGGTATATTTTTCGTATTATCATACTGGATGATGGAGGTGATATGAGTTCCCAAAGAAGAAGAAGAAGAAGAGGAAGAAGAAGAATAACAACTACAACAGTTCTTTTCCTTCTCATTACTATTACTATTATCAATAGTATCTCCAGTAGTGCTGTGGTAGCGGAGTATAGTGAGAACTCGAAGGCTTTGGGATTGTAGGCGCCTCATTACTCCATAGCGGTTCATTCACTATAAAATAGAAGAGAGAGAGAGAGAGAAAGAATTAGAAATAATAATAATAATAATAATAATAATAATAATAATAATAATAATAATAATAATAATAATAAACAAAACACTAATATATATAAAGAAGTTTGCATTAACAATCTGTCAAAAATTTATTTTTAAAGAGAGAATATAGGATTCTATCAGTCGTTTATTATCAAACAGAAATAAACCAAAATTTCCCACAAAACATTTTTTTTTTCTTTTTTAAAGAGATCCCTTACCTCAACCCCATCCCATCCCTTTCTCCCATTGAGAAGGGGAATTAAATTCACATATACATGCATATGCACATGTGTATATTTCTGTAAATTCCATTTTATAAAGCTGAAGAATATCTGTGAAGAGAATCCGAGCTATCCAAAACCTCACTAACTTGAGGAATAGTTGATATACCTGAGGTAGAGGAAAATCTCGGTGGAACATCAGTACTGTTATCATTATCATTATTCTTATTGATGTTGTTTATATCCTTATCCTTCCTTCTTCTTTTCATTCCTCTTACGCTCGTCTGACTATCACTTTCACTATCGCTACTACACTCAGTAGCAATGATTACACTTCCCTCAATATTATTATTATTATTATTATTATTATTGTCATCATCAGTATCAGTATCAGTATCAACATTAGAGATCTCTTTTTCTGTACATGTGCGTTTACAAGTAGTAGTAGTAGTAGGATCTCCTTCATCTAATGTTTCTCCTTCTCCATTCATTAACGGCAACAGTTCCTTTGCAAACTGAAGTGCTGGTTGAAAAAAACCCACACGAGCCGCGAGACGCAACCCATAGTGATCCACCTGTGAAGGTCCCGGTAATAAACGATATTCAAATCGCAAAGCACACGTTGTCTTCACTACTTTACTAATACTATTACTAATATTATTATTATTATTATTATTATTATCTTCCTTCCCTGTACTTACGGCGAGATGAAAATTCCGCACAGCCCCACCACTTCGCAGTGCAAGTCGTGTGAGTCTACTAAAGTGCGTCACGAATACACTTCGACATCTTGTTGAGATGAGAAACTCTACGGTGGCCCACGCAATGGCGGTTCCCTCACGAACAGCCGTACGGCGGCCGAGTTCATCTATTAACACCACACTAGATCGAGTGGCATGTTGACAGACATGTGCCAATTCTCGCATTTCCTTTGCAAAGGCAGAAGTCATCGCATCATCTAAATCATCACACAACATATGAGCAATTAGACGATCACATGGTTGAAGAGCCGCAGAGCTGGCGGGTACAAGACAACCACATTGTGCAAGTGTAATTAATTGACCAACTTGTCGAAGAAGTGTTGTTTTACCAGAGGCATTTGGGCCTGTTATTAATAATACATTTACACCACTTTTCACATCCCAACAAATCGTATTAGCGGCGATATTCATTCCTGTACTTCTTGTTGTACTTGTACTTGTTGAGATGGGAGATAATGTCATTCCACCAGGATGTCGTGCTTCTGTAAAGTGAGTTCCACTACAACTCCCTAATAATTTATCGGGTTTAAGTAATTTTGGTCGTGTACAGGCATTTAATCGACTATAGACCGCAAAGGCCACTAATAGATCTAACATCGCCACCGCATCACAGACGGCTTGTAATTTTCCTAATCGTTGTCGAAGATAATCTATAAGAAAACGTACAAGATTGTCTTGTGTTTGAAGAATTTCCGTTACTGCCTCATCGGCATTACGACGAAAAATAAGCATTTCTTTTGTTGTACACGTCACTCGTCTACCACGTACTTGATGTTTCGTAATATTAAGAAGATTCTCTTCATTTATATCTTGTTGTTGAGAGGTGTATCCAGATCGTATGAAGCCGGTTGTACTGTTTGTAAACATAATATCTTGATTAAGAGACTCATTATATAGTGGTGTAGCTGTATTCATACAAGTATTATTATTATTATTATTATTATTATTATTATTATTATTATTATTATTATTATTACCATGTATATTATTTTCCTTTTCCATTTTATTCTCTACATGTTCCTTCTGTGTTTCCATCATCATCGTCGTCATCATCATACGGCTACTATGATATAAGGCGTAGTGATTTCCACCAGAATACTTTTGCAGAAATACAGAATCCGGGGCATTACATTCATGTCGAGCATCATATGAAAAATGATATCCCCGCACATTATCATACACCACACGTAAGGAACCAACATTATATTGTTGTTTTAATTCCTCTGCATATGTAAACATAGCTTCTACGGTTTGACTGTATTGATATCGAGCTGCATCTAAAGTACCACTGAGATTAGGTTTTACCGCAAAACACTGTTGTACTTGAAGTACCGCCCCACCCAATCGTTTTCCTCGTGGATTGGAAGTAGTGCCAATGAGTGGATGCTCATTACGTTCCGTCACCCGCACAACACTCTCATCTAAATAGAGTGCGATCTCTGTACATATCTCTTCCATCCGACATACCGTTAAGGTTTCAAGAAGTTTACGAAGAAGTGTGGTCCCTCCACTTGGAGGTTTGACGGCTGTTCGCTGTCGACTCTGATGATGATGATAAGTTTGACGATTCTTTGGGGATCCATCATATCTTCGACGTTTCTGTTCTGGTTGAGTCTCACATGAAAACCCATTATTATTATTATTATTATTATTATTATTATTATTTTCATCACTGGAATTGTAGGAGGAATCATCCTTAGAACACTTTTCTTCATATTTATCATATTCCTCTGTTTCCTCCCCTAACACAGCACGTAATGTGTGAGAGAGTTTTGTAACGGCGCCAAGTAATTTCCACAAAGCCACCACAGCATCTATACGATATTGCATAGATTTCACAGTTTGTACTTTTGGCTCTTGTGAGAAATTAGAAATAACGCGTTCAATATCATCTCCGGCAAGAGCCCGTAGAGAACAACGAAGAGCAGTGAGGGCCTCTTCATGATATAATAACCACTCCACACTATCATACCGTAATTCAATACTAACAGCATCTCGTAATGGCTGTAGAACAGTAGATCTTAACAGACGTCTACCTACATTTGTGATGGTGTGATGAAGAGCATCTACTAATGGTAGTTGTGGGGCACTCTCTCTTTGATCTCCTGAGGAGCGAAAAAAAGTTTTACGTGCTTTTCTTCTACTATTACTATTACCAACCGTACTATTATAACGATCGGATGTATTTCCTGTTATCATATCATTCTGTGTTGTTGTTTGTTGTTGTTGTGAAATCATTCCGGATCTTCCACGTAGTGAAGGTCCTGATGGAATGAGATATAATGCCCGTGCAGAGAGTCGTGAAACCTCCATATAGTTCTCTAATGCCAAATACTGTACACGTACTGTGTGTGGAAGAAGTGTATAATTGTATGTAAACTCTATAAAATCAATTAGAGCATTAGCGGCAGAGACGCAGAGATATCGATCAATATTACTTACTTCTGAACAGGCCTCATCTGTAGACATGAGTTCCAACAGTCGATGGGCTCCTTGTGCCTCATCAAAGGAACGTCTTTGTACACCTGTGAAAGTAATATCACGAAAATGTCGAAGTAATGTTTGTACAAACTTTCCATCTACAGCTGTGTCTGGTACTAATACCTCCACAGGATTACGGGAAAAGAGAAAAGAGAGAGTTTTAGCAAAAGCCACACTATCGCCGTATTGTGTAATAATAATGGCCAATGATGGAAGTTGACATAAGGCCACACCCACTTCATTCGCACTATTATCAATGAGAGCCATAATACATTCTCCAATATTTTGATTTGTACTCGAACGTTTTCCTGTTGAAAGTGTCGTTGTGGCTGTTCGAGTTCGAGTCGGTGCTGTTGTTGTTGTGTTGAAAAGAGAAATTCTGGGACCTTCTCTTAATCCCAGTGGAGTTTGTGGATTTAAGATACTGTGATGCTGTGGGAAGGTTCCAGTTGTAAAGTGATTCCCCGTAAAAAGAGGTGCGGCTAGACCAGACCATGGTTGTGAAATATGTGAATATTGTTCTTCTCCTTGTTGCTGTTGTTGTTCTTCAACTAATTCTAATCTTTCTTCTTCTTCTTCTGGATATTGTTGTTGATCTGCTGGAAAACGAAATGCCCCTTCATTCTGTACTCGGGCCTGTTGATAGGCGGTACAGCCTGCAAGAGAAATAACAGGCGCGGAGTACCGCACACCCGGTTTGCGCAACTGCAATTGCAGCAGCGACGGTGGGGCTCCACCCGTTTGTGTGAAGTTGTGAAGAGAGAAGTCGGCCGTTGTGGAGTACACTATACAATGTGAATCTCAACAGTCTTTCCTCTTTCTTTTTTTTTATCTGTTTATATATATATATATATATATATATATATATATATATATATATGAATATGAATATGAATATCTGTGTATTATGTGTGTATATCTGTGTATATAGTATGTATCTCTGTCTTTCTGTCTAGCTTTATTTATGTGTCAGATGAAGGAAAAAAGAAAAAGGGGGAATAGAAAAAAGAAAAATATAGAGAATGAAAAAAAAGAATATATATATACGCACCTTTGTATATACTTCACAAAGAGAAAGAAACAATAAAGAAAAATATGTATCAATATAGGAAATGAAAAAAATACGTCGGAGAGTAATATAATCACTGAATATGTAATGAGAAGGAGTGAAAGAATGTAAAATAATAGAAAAAAAAAAGAAATAAGCTCCAGAGAAGAGCTAACCAAATAATAATAATAACAATAATAATAATAATAATAATAATAATAATACCCATACACTTTTCATTCATTTCTCTTCATTTTTTTTCTTATTTCACTGTTGAAGTTCACCAAAAGAAAAAAAGTCTCTAATGACCATTCCCCGTTACCTCGAGCAACTGGAAAACAAACAAACAAACATAAACACAAACATTGCTACATCCATTCCCATTTTCATACTGTTTATTATTATTATTATTATTATTATTATTATTATTATTATCATTATTATCATTTATCATTATTGATATTATTTCCTCTTCTTTTTATTATTATTATTATTATTCTCCTTCTTCTCTACTCCATTTCCCTGCAAGGCTCTATACGCATCCCGGGCTGCCAGCAATGGTGATAATTGCGATACCCCGCCCAATGCCGTTAGTAATATATATAAGATAAACACCACAACTGGGGCCCGGCAGGCCACACACACACGCACAGCAATCCCTATTTCCATACAGTGAATAAGCCACGCGAGGAGCCAAATCACACGAACACCATCCATTCCACCAAAGTAACGACTGAGATAAAAGAGATGCCGCATGAGATCATCCTCAATAAAGAGTCGCAGGTTAAATCTCTCACTGTATCCCATTTCCTTCTCCGCCCGCATGGCCAGCACGGTGGGTGATGGAAGGAGATCTGTGCCCTCCGCATTTGGGGTAACGCCCCAGGCTAAATAGTTAAGAAGAAGAAAGGCAATACATGTAGGGATGAAAACAAGCCACGGGGGTCGATAACGTAAAGTTGTGGGGGTTTCCACTTTACCGGTTCCTCTATTATTGGTCATATTGGTAGGCAATCTCTCTTTGTTTCTTCTTGTTTATATATATATATATATATATATATATATATATATATATGGTTTAATCAGCTTGAATGTGAGTGAAATGAGAAGAAGATAAAAAAAAAAAAAGAATAGAGGTTATATTCCCTTTAAATATGAGCACACAATCATCAGATGTCTTCTTCACAAAAGTATACACACATACACAATCTTATATTTATTATTTTTTTTTATTTGTATATTTACATTTCTCATTTTGTGTTTTTGAGGTGATGTAAATGAAAACAGAGAGCGAGACTCTCTTAAACTGAGAAACGAATAAAATAAACTAACAAGCAAACAGACAAACAAACAGGGAAAACCGAATATATATATATATATATATATATATATATAAGGCTATAATCATCGTTATGATTCCACTGGTTGTTTACGTAGAAGAAGACGACGTGCCCCACGCATCACACTTCTAAGCGCCACTCCAGCATCACCGTAAGAATCAACCGTTGCGAACATCACAACAGCTATAAGAAAGATAGTTAATCGTATGTGAGTTGTACGTCTATCTTTACGCCGCTCTTCTTCACTCTTTGAGCCATTATATACTGTGCGAAGTCGGCCACCTACAGTCCAGAGAATATTCACCGCACTGCAGCAGGTCTGCCAACGATCACGCCATACTCCCATTTACCCTATATACCTCTAAGTAGAGATACTCTATATATCTATCTATCTATATAAATATTATAGATATAAATATCTACTATCTATTATATCTATTATTATCTATATAGTTAGGTGGATAATGTATGTACTAATAGAGAGAGTGATGAATAGAAGAAGGAAGAATTTATTACACAGTAGAGAAATATGTATTTCATATGTGTAGATATATATACATTAGAGATAATATCAAAACCTTTTAATTTCATCATTTATGCTTTTCATTCTGTTCTGTTCTCCACTTTACTTTTTTTTTTATTTCTTTTTTTCTTTCCTTTCAGTTATACAGGAGTACAACTAGTAAGCAGAAAAAAAAATAAAAATAAATAAATAGGAAAATGTTCACATTCTTCTCTCTTTTTTTTTCTTCAGAATGAAAATACCGTGCAAATAAAACACACACACTCACTGTAAAATAAACAATACATAAATATATATAAAAGAAACTCAAAAACGACATCATCATCATCATTATTATTATTATTATTTATATATTAATATCAACAAACAGAATTCATAGGCACTATCAATATCAAGACAAGCCACACACAGAGAGAGAGAAATATATATATATATATATATATATATATATATATATATATATATAAACACTACTACTATTTCTTCTTCTATTTTTAAAATGAAGACTATTTACAGTGTTGTGTGTCGTCGTTTACGGGGTGGGTGGCACCACTGCATTGCCGAGAAACAGCCCATAATCAACAGTCCAGCAATACCCGCAAGAATTCCAACATTCGTCCACTGCCGTGAGTTCCTAAACCCTAAGAAAGTTGCATATTGAGATCCCGTATAACACATGGTCTCTTTATCTTCCACACAACCAAAGTCATGACCCACAAACTGTGAGAGAATAGAAGATTCATACGCCAATCGTATAATAGAAAGATTGGAAATATATTGAAATGGTAATGGAAGTGTAGTAAGGTTTAATATAATCCCTGCTAGTAATAAGTTCAGTGTGTAAACCGCAAAAAGGGCAAACATGGCAAAACGTCTTCTCCATATCACTGTACAAAAGAAAAACACTACAAAATAACTCGCAAAGGACATCACACCAATAATAAGAACGAGTTTCATAATAGGAAGATAATAATCCCACTTTCCCACAATATTGGAAACACAAAAGGCAACAAAAGCAACAGACGATAAAAAGAAAACTCGCTCCAACGCACAATATAAAACAGCATAGGTTAAATATGTTAAGGTACCATAATATCCATGTGAACGATGCCGAAGAAAACTTTTATATTCTTTTCGTTGTCCATCTAAAGAAAGAATACTATAAAGGAATGTTGAACTCACAAGAAAGAAAATAATACCAATTCGATTTTGCATTCCACTTTGTCCCTCCTGACTATTATACACAGCCGCCAAGACAACTGTTACTATTACCAGTAACGCAAAGAGAGCACTTCCCACTAAAAGATTATGTCGTATCTGTAGAAAAGCATATTTAAACATATAATATAAACGTACATGCGCACCAGGACTAGAATACGGCATACCTTCTAATGTTTCTTGTCCAGAAGCACATTTATGAAAGAATTGTGTTACTTTTTGATGTACACGTTCCGCATTACCTGAACTCGCCAATGCCGTTGCGAGAGATGATGTTCCTCTATTAGAAGCTAATCTATATAATGAACTGATCGCATTTTCCATAGCCCCTGAAGAGGGATTTGCCCCAATAGCTGTGATGAGTTCCTGTAGAGTTCCACAAAAGACACATTGTTCACGTTCAAATAAAATAACATTATCCACATATTTTAATACGGCCCATCGTGGTTGAATCATAGATACTAACACAATACGTCCACCACTACATCGTCCAGCTAATTCCAACCCTTGACTACTTCGCAACACTCCACTACTTTCTATTACTAAAGATTCCGGAATACCTCGAGTTATGGTACTCACTTCCGGTGTAGACATTGGCGATGAACTGGGAAACTCTACACTTGTGCGAGTTGTACTTACTGTAGCTAAAGAGGATCGTGTGTGTGCTGCTGCAGCGGGTGCGGCAATACGGCGAAGAAGAATCATAAACTCTTGTGCCTCATGTGTACGTAATCCTTCTAGTAATTGATCAAAACAAAGTACTAATGGATCTAATAAGAGTTCCTTTCCAAGAGAAACACGACGTCGTACATAGAGAGAACAATCTCGTACGATTTTATCAGAAACTTCTGAGAGGGAAAGAGCCTCCATAATATCTTGTGGCGTGTAGGCTTGACTGGCAACTCGCATAGATGCGGCGTATTCAATACTCTCCCGCACGGTGAGTTCCTCAAACGCCGTAAACTCCTCATCAATGAGTGTTGTGCGGTGTAAATACGCTGGGGCATCTACGGGAATTCCATTCATCATAATTGTCCCACTCGCACACTCTTCACGGCCGGCGAGGGCATCCAATAAAAACGAATCACTTTGAGTTCCACCGCAATTCACAACAGCAGTGAGTCGACCACCGTAAATAATTCCAGTGGCGTTTTGAATCACTACATGTTTATCCCGCACCATTGTTACATTATCAAAGCCGAGTGTGAGAGAGGAAGAGGAGGCGTAATAACCATGGGATGAGGAATCACTAGGAGTAATAGTGAGGGGAGCAGACATGATTGGATTGGATTTATTTTATATTTTCACTTTCAATAGGCGAACACTACTTGTGATTGTAATACTTTATATATATATATATATATATATATATATATATATATATACTGTTAGAAACACTAATAATGCTTACAGTTTTTGTGTGTAATGAGAGAGAGAGAGAGAAAGAGAAAGAGAAAGAGAAAATGAAATAAGAAACGATCATACCAAGAATAATAATAATAGCAATAAGAAAGAACAGTTCATTCGTAATAGTGGGTAATATTTTAAACCAAGAAGGAAAAAAAAGAAAACAGAAAGAAAGAAATAAACAAATATTACCCATAACCCGGAAATTAAATAAATAAAACAGATCTCTCACAAGAGAAATACAGAAAGAGCAAAAAAAGAATAGGGAGAGAGTTGTAATAATAGTCCAACAACCCGTACCACATCTCATCCATACAAAATAATAATAATAATAATAATAATAATAATAATAATAATAATAACGATCACTGGATCTTCACTTCGAAAACTGTAATAGTGAGACCTCAGAGTCTTTTCAATACTCCTTTCTTTCTTTCGTTCTTTCTGTAACCGTAACGACAATCAACAGAAGAGGAAGAAGAAGGTAAGAAAAGAAAAAAAAGAAATAATTAACAGTTGCGCAAAAAAAAAAAAAAAATAAGATAAAAAGACTACACACAGTAAAAGATTAGGTTCAAGTACCACCAAAAATATACACTTCTCTGATCAATTCCCTTATCGGCTGCGTTGCCTCATTTAAAATCTCTGGAGACATTAAGGCTGTTAAATATTGTTCCTTCTTTTCAAGTGTCTTTCCCAGTTTTCGTGCCACCTCCCGCTCCTCTACTGTTAAACAGAGAGCTCTTCCATTAATATACTGAAGAATATGAATAGCCGCTGCAGCCCCACGTATCCCAACATTATCTTCACCCGCTGCTCTTAAGATATCTAATCCCAATTGCCGTGCCACCGCACAAAAGGTACGACGTATAGTGAGATTACGACAGGGTTGAAGAACATAAGCAATCGCATCAAGAATATCATAACGATTGGGAACATCATTGGCCGTGCGAACAAGAGAATATTGCCATGTTGGGGAAACAGTTGGTCCTGTTAATGTTTTGGGTTCTACTAATCCTTTAAGAACACGAGTAGTACTCTCCACGGCAGTGGTAAAATATACAGAAGGAATTTTCATTTCCGTTACTTTTTTATAAAAGAAATCACTTTCTGAACATTTCAACCACCATCCCTGAGTCCGTTCAAAATATTCTTCTTCTTTTTCTTCTTCTTGTGGTTTCGATGGCGTTCGTAACAATGCATTTGCGGCTACACACTCAAGATAGACGAGATGCTCTATAAGAGACATGAAAGCCTCACGTAGTTGTAATGAAAGAAAAACTTCCTTTTCCTTTCTTTCCTCTTTCCGCATAGATTGTACAATAGTGGTAGAAAGTACCAACAGATGGGCAAGTCGATCATTACAGTGACCCACCACATTACCACTATCCCAGAGAGAAGCAGCGAGTCCTAAGGCTATATCATTCTCTAATCTTGCTGCGATACTTGGAAATGGTGGTGGTTTCATTGTCGTCTTTGTGGATTGTGGATCTATTGTATCTATACATTTTTTGTTTTTTTTACACTTGTGATGTATACAGGGTTCTACACGAATATATGATGCACTTAATGATGATAAAAAGGAAGTGTGATTTCTTTTCTCTCGCTGCTGCCGTTCACCAGACAGTTGATAGGGTGTTGCCCATCGCAACATCTGCGATGGTGATCCATACTGAGATGGAAACATACGACCATGGCATTCCGCAGCGACGGGTTCACATCCACATCTTTTTAATTCCTGTTGAATACGAATAGCATCTGTTGGTGTAATCTCTCTTTCTTCTTCTTGTCGTTTTTGTTTTTGTTGGGTTAAATCATGAGTCATGTTATGATTCTTCTTAAAGTGAAGAGTGGTTCGGATTCTGTATAATAGGATAGATACAATTGTGTTTCTCTTTCTCTTCCTTTTTTTCTTTTTTCTTCTTCTCTGCTCTGGCCTGTCGCTTCCGCCTAAAAAGAAAAATAGAGAAAAAAGAGGTTCACTATAACACAAAGGTAAAGGCTTCATTTGTGCACAAACGTATATCAAAAAAATAAAAGAAGGAAAAAGAGAAAGAAAGAGAGAAATATATATATAATAATACACCGTATTTCCCACAGACCACACATCATTGTATCAACAAACAAACAAAGAAAGAAAAAATAAATAATAAAGGATTCATCTTACAGTGGGAAAAAAGATCTTTACAACAAAAACAAATGATGTTGATGATGATGATAATCAAATCATATAATGAGAATAACAGCAACTTCACCTCTCTCTCTCTCTCTCTCTCTCTCTCTCTCTCTCTCTCTTTTCTTTTTCATTCTAAACTACTTCACAAAAGCCGCTCCGTCTCCAGCAGCTGACGGTACTCTGCAAACACATCCTGCAGCTGTGCACTTGGGGCGGCTGTTGTTATCATCACCTGCAGTGCCTGTCGCAGTGCGGCCCGCAGCGAGTCCTGTTCTCTGTACTGCGCGTAACTCTCCACGGCGCCGGTGCCGTCCCGCAGGGCCTCACATAATGCCCGCGTGACTTTCGGCGCGAGATCCTCCGCGGCGTAGCGGCCGGCGGCCAAAGACGGCGTGTGCAGAGATGCGAGTGCCCCTGCGGCCTGCGTGCGGACTTTGAAGATGCGATCGTGGCCGACCAGCACGCAGAGACGCTCCACCGCCCGCGTGGACTCCTGCGGCTCGGCGTCAAACACGACATTCCTGGCGAGTCCACGGCCGAGTGCATACGCGGCATTCCAGCGCAGTTTGGCATCTCGATTGGAGGGTAGGAGAAAACGAAGGAGGGTGCTGAGAAACCCTTCCGCAACGCCGACCTGTTGTTCGGCGAGTTCACTGATAAGTTCCTCAAAGGTGAGACTGCGTAGGAGATGACTCATCATGCGAATACCATGGCCCATAACGATAGCATCACTTTGGGTTTGGGCGGCATGCATGGCAACATCACAGAGTAATTGCATATGATGTGGGGAATTGCGTAATGGATTACTATTATTATTATTATTATTATTATTATTATTATTATTATTATTATTATTATTATTATTGTGATCATTATTATTATCATCATCAAGACGTGAAGTAAGATTAGATAATGCAAATGCAGCTTTACAGCGAACCTCAGCCTCTGTATCATTACAAAGTGCATCTACAGCACGATCCACAAACTCAGGAAACCATTTATGGAAAGTATTATACTGCCATACCCACACACCCACTGTTGTGAAGGCCTCAGCTCGAAGACTACTATCATGTGCGGTAGTACTTCTCAAGACTTCTTCCACAATCTTTTCACATTCTTCAGTCTTTAAGGATGACATAAACTCTTCACCTACTTGTGCTACACAACGAAGGGCTGTTCGTCTGGCATCATGATAGTAACACCCATTTGCTGTTAAGAGAAGTGTTGGCATAACGAGATCTTCTACAATCTTTCTTTTTTGATCTAATGTTGCCCGGTAAGCAGAGTGATCTTGACGAAGTGCCGGATCTGCGGAATGACCATCAAATGACTGCCAAACATAACCCATAAAATGTAACCAAGCTCGAAGACATTCTCCTAATGTATCTCCTGTTGTTCCTTCGGTAATCATATTATTATTATTATTATGATCATCCTTCATTGATTGTAAAGAGTTTAAAAGTGCACGAGAAGTCTCCATTAGAGTCGTAAAGCGTGCAGCAACAATGGATGGATGAATACGAGAGAGCTGCACAACACATCTCCATACTTCTACACGATGTGATGCGTGTGTTAGTAATGAATTAAGTAACAACATTTCACCAATATCAGGTTCTACAGAAATCTCTTTGGAACCTTTTTTATGTACATCCTCTTTTTCTTTTTTAGATGAAAATTGAGTTAATAACATATTAACCAGAGAATCTTCCTTAAATACCTGAGTAAGAAAAGCTGCTGTTAGTGCAAATTCCTCTGAACGATCATTTAAAAGAGCATCACGTAGTAATGGTAATTTAAATGTACGTTGAAGCACATGAAAAGAATGTGGAGATCGCTGGTATGGTGTACAAGTAACGAGTACCGTAAATACAGAGAGTAAAAGTCCTTTGGATGCGAATATAGAAACATTTACACTAGAAGAAGAAGAAGAAATATTATTATTATTATCACTATGTATTCCTGATAAATTTCCAGGTAATTCAATTGCCCAAAGTAAGGAGTCATGTAAAGATACCAATACCCGACCACTTTGAGATGCTAATGAGGAGAAAGATTGTCGCTTTTGTTGTGGTTCTTCCGCATATTGAAAGCTCCGTTGTAATTTACGTAATAAAGAAGAAAGAAGAATAGCCGCAGCTGCACGAACACTCTCTTCTTTATCCCAGAATAATGGTGTTAGTAGTGGGTGAAATGTACGTGGATCTCTGGCATCTACTTCAGGGAATAATGCCGGTAGATATCGCATGGTATTAAAAGGTGTACTACGAAATCGCATTAATGCAGCTGTCAATAGATATAATGCGGATGTACGAAGTTCTATACAGAGTTTCTCATGTATATTTCTATTATCCACTGATGTATTACTATTATTATCGTTATTATTATTATTATTATTATTATTATTATTATTATTATTATTTTCTTTTTTTTGTTTCTCTACCGGCATATAACAAGAGAAACGCACAACGACATTTACGGCAAGACGAAATGTCTCCTCTGCCATTTGTGCCTCTACAGCTGGATATCCATTATCTACACTACTATTACCATTATTAGTATTGGTATTAGGATTATTACTATTATTATTATTATTATTACTTTTGTTCTGACGACGCGGCATACGCTGCATGGGTGTCGTGCGGCCACTACTCACATGGGATTGAAGATCATTCTCGGCTCCATCTGCTGTACGTGCGGTAGCAAAACAATACCATGCTAATAACTTTACGAGAATAACAATACGCTGCAGTACTTCCCGTTCCTCAAGAGTGAATCCATTAAACCGACCTTTTAATGAAAGTAATAAATTATTTAAGTTTGTTATCGTACCACGAAACATAATTATTGTGGGGATTGGGAATCCCATCGTTGTTGATGTTGTTGTTGTTTCTACTGTTTCTGAGTTAGAAGCCTGCTGTAAAGCTCTATTTGCCTCATCTTCCATTTTGATGAGATCTCCAGTTTTACGGAGGAGTTCTCTGGAGTTGCTGCGCAGTGAATCGTAAAAATCACTAAGAGAAGCGTTGAGTGCCCCTTCACACTTTATAAGTGGAGGCTGCTGCATATCGCCCAATAATAATAATAATAATAATAATAATAATAAAAAGAGAGAATTGTTGTGATGAATGAAATTAAATGTTCGTCTTTTTTATCCTTTCGTATATAATTTTATATAGAAAAGAACTTTTTTTTCTCTTTTTCTCCTTAAAAAAAAAAAAAAAGAACGAAACAAAGGAAAAAAAAACAGATCAAAACACAAGATATTCCTTCAATCACACTTTCCCACCCCCAATGTGTATATGAATATACATATATATGAGTTGTTGTTGTTGTTGTTGTCCTTTCTACGACAGTCGAGAGGCTCCGAGGCCCTTCTTGCGGAGTTTCATTGCGCGACTGCCAGACGCGGGTTCCATCGTGGAATTGGTGTCAACATGACGAGTGAGAGTTCTCTCTGCAGAGCGCATACTAGTAGCAGTAGTTGTTGCTGGTGTTCGTGTTTTCACAGGAGCAAAATCCACATCATTTCCCCACGGATCATCATCATCATCATCATCAAAATGGCTATTGTTTTTATCTTTACTGTTATCCTCAAGTTCTGATGTAACTGTTGGACTTGACATGGTGGTCTTTGTGGTAGTCGTATTAGTGAAGATGGGTACAGAGAGATTCTTCACATTACTCCCAGTATGAACACTAGCACCAGTAGCAAAAGAAGAAGTGGCTGTTGTTGTTGTACTAGTAGCATTAGTAGTAGTAGTAGTATTAGTACCAAAAGCAATGGTTGTTCCTCCTACAGGAGTGGTATCGGATTTATTTTCACTTGTATTTCCTCCCGCACCCCAACGCCATCCCCAGAATGAAGAAGAAGAAGCCGTTTTATTTTCATTATTATTACTATTGTTTTTGTCAGGTGTGGTATCGGTAGCTCCATTAACCCCAGAATTCGCCATAGATGTCTTTGCCTCTTTCACACTCTCTTCACTATTAAACACCTCTAATCGTTCAATGGCCCCACGTAAAGCCAATAATGCCGCCTGTCGGACTTCACCTACAGAATCCACAGTCAGTGGACCTACACCAGGCAACATCAATTCCGCAATATGTTGAGGTGTGAGATATTTAAGAGTTGATTGAAATGAACGAAGAGCCCCAACGCGACTGGGCACAAAAGGATCTCGCAACATTCGACCAAAGCCGTGAATGAGAATTTTAGATCGCTGCTCCGCTGGTATCATGTCGGCCATTAAACAAAGACCAATCGTGGCATTTGTGCGGATTGCACCTTCTTGATCTTGTTGGAGTTGTCCCACATACTTGGGTACATCATTTAAGAGAATTTTTTCCTGTAGATTTTTAGCAAATGACACGAGTGCCCGAATAGTATATTCCCGAATACCAGGAACTGGACTACTAAAACCAGAAACAAGCAAAGGCCAAATCTGATCATTAACAACATTGGCTGGTAATAAAGAGGCATACTCTGGGGCCCGCTGCAGTAAACGATATCGTACCATTCGATCTTGAGAAGCAAAGAGACTGACAAGAACAGGAGCCACATATGTGGCGTACTCTTCTGGAGAATTAGCCAAACGAGCGGCAATGCGAAGAACAGGATCAATCACAGCAGGTAAAGCCCCAAAATTAAAGGATGCTTGTAGTTTAGGAAGTACCAATCGCATACACGCCTTCTTGGGAAAGGTATCCACCACACTGCTGAGATGATCAAAAAAACGTTCTCGTTCTACATTATCTTTTAAAGATAATTCATCTAATGCCTGCATACACTTTACAAACTCACTTCCTACTATAAATGTACTATTACGTAAGAAACGATCCACATCATGTCTCATTTTTGGATTAGCCGTACAAAGTCCAACAAATCCACTTTGTAAAGTACGTGGTAGACTACGACATCCACGCATATCATTAGCCGTACATGAATTGGCTGGCATATTCTCTGGACGGCCAAGTACATCATAGATAAGACAAGCCAATCCCCACGCATCTGTATCTCCCACTCGTTGTTGTTGTTCTTGTTGATTTCCTCCATATGTGTGTAGAGTCTCCGGTGGACGTCTATATTCAGGCAGCCGGGCAGCATATCGATCATACATACTATGGGCCTCTCCAAATACACTAACCAATTCTAATCCAAACAATCGCCACTCACCACTGGGAAGAACATAAACTGATTCACAAGCCACATTCCCATGAATAAAGTTATTATGGTGTAGGGCAACGAGTGCAGTTCCAACAGTTTTAAGTCCTAAAGCAACACTTTCCAAAAAAGCATCATTATCATCTTCTTCCTCATCTTCATTCTCTTCAACACCATCACTACTACCTTTCTTATTGGTAGTGGTATAAGCAGATAACTTTGAATGGGAGTGTTGTTGGAGTACCGTACTAAGTGGTTCACATGGTTCTGTAGCGATGTAGATAGTTTCTTGATATTCCACCGCACCGCTACACCGAAGAAGACCTGGTAATAATAAACTCTTTGCACGTTTCATTGCATTTCGTGCCATCTCCTTTATACTCTCATCCGCCTTTGCTAAATTGATGGAGAATATAGTGACAGGTCGACCATTATCATCACTTACACCTGGACGCATGGTCCATGTGAGTGTTGAGGTTGTGGCTGTAATAGAAGAAACAGCAGCATTAGTGTTGTTGTTGTTATTATTATTATTATCACGTGCAGTGTATGGGAATCCCGGCACGGAGTCTGATAGACCAATTGCCTTCCACAAAAAAGACATAAGCAACTATCCTATGCAAATAATAATTATATATATATAAATAAATATATATTGGTATTTGTATATATATATTTTTCTTTTTTTTTTACCTCTCTGCTTTTGGTTCCTCTTCTTTGAATGTTTTCTATCTATTTTTTTTTTTTTCTTTTTTCTTTCTCTCTCCCGATCTTCTTGTTGAAAGAATTCGTCGGAACTGTTATTACTACTTCTACTATACAGTTCGACACGCTACCACACGCACACACACACACACTCTCTCTCTATCCCCTCTTTGTTGTTGACATTAAAAAAAAAAAGGAAAAAAAAGAGCATTCCCCTGCATTGATGTTAGGAAATAATATTTAAAATATCAACACCCAACACAGAATAATAAGAACAACAAGAAGAATAAAAATAAATAAATAAATAAATAAAAATAAAGAAGAAGCAAAGAAATGTGTATACACTCATTACTCACCTTCCCACTTGTAGAACTCTACACTTCCACTTCTTTATCCAATCCCACAGAGGCCTCATATGCTGCCCGTACTTCATTACACTTTTCCTGCTGTCGCTGCAGTAACTTTTGACTAATCGCAATCTGTTCTTTTATCGTTGTTGCTACTGGTGCGTATTTGGCAACAAATGTCTTCATTTCTTCTGTACGTTGTAATACTTCACTAAGTGCCGCATCCCCATTCGTTAATGCCTTTCGTAGTTTATTCAGTACGGAGGGGGAACTACTATTCCCTGTATCCGCATTATTCTTCTCTTCTTGTTCTTGTTGTAATTGTTTTCGCTTTCCCTCATACTTTTGAACAATGCGTTGATAATTGTTTAAAGCCTCCTGTTCCTCCGCCGTTAGTCCAGGCAGTGTGGCTGGCCATACAAATCCTTTTTGCATCTCCAACTCCATCAAAACACTTTCATTATTGTTATCCTTAACCTCATTATAATGACTATGGCGATTCATGTCATTATTATTATTATTATTATTATTATTATTATTATTATTATTATTATTATTATTAGCCCGTATAATTGTGTAGGTTCCTTCAGGTGCTAAGACCGCTAGAGCCTTTTCCGACTCCTGCAGTGCTTGTGATTCCTCTTCAATGGCTGCTTGTATGTGTTTTAGGCGTTCTATGCGTGTGAGTAGTTGTTTGCGTTGGGCAGCATAATCCCGTAGTGTTTCCTTTTCACGTTCAATACACTCTCGTAGGGCTTTTACTTCTTCTGCAGTCTCTGGGTCCTCTGCTAACTCTTCTTCTCCCACTTTTTCTATGAATTCCTGTATCATCCCATTATCATTACTGTTAGAACTTTCTTTTGCTTCTATGTCCCCTTCACTTTTACCATCACCCATACTGTCATTATCCTTATTATTATTATCATTACTCAAATCTCCCATATTCGACTTGCTGATGATGTCATCTGGTGGTGGTGGTGGTGAAGAGGAAATATCATCACTCTCCAAACCGTGTCTCTTTAGAATCGATTTAAGATAATGTATACACTTCATCATTACCTCTATCTCTGATTTTTTCTCTTTGATGATACGTTTATTACTCTCTAACTCATTTGTAAGAGTCTCTTGTTGTAATTGTTGATCTTCTAAACTTGAAGTTCGTACTTCAATCAAACGTCGTCGTTCCGCCTCTACCCGTTCCGTGACGTGAGAAAGCCACGCCAGTTCTCCACTTAACTCCACATATTGTTGTTGTAATTGTTTTCTCTGCTTCTCTTCTTCACTCTCTTGTTTTCCTTCTTCTCTTTTATTCTGTATATCGGAGACAAACTTTATGATCTTTTCTTTTCCTGGAACTCGTCTCAAACGACTTTGGGCGATTATTTCCTCTTCATTCTCTGCGGCATTACGTGCATGTGCCGCCTCTACATCATCATCATACTGTGCTAATGTGTAGTCTCTACGTAGAAAGTGAACACTCTTCTCCTTCTTTTTCATATCATTTCCCTCTATATCCTCCACTACTACTTCTATCCCAGACTCGAATGAAGTAGTACAGTTATCATTACACGGCTCATTATTTCCCGTAGGAATAGGTGTAGGAGTCGCATTTGTATGATCTTCACTTGTTGTTGAGTGAGAAGAAACATTACAGGTGTGATGATTATCATTATCACTCATCTCCACATCTACAGCAATATTTTCTTCTGGTGCTAATGTAGGAACTGTTCCTGTTTCCATCTCTACTACACGCCTCACGGCCCGCTTAGTCTCCTCCTCACGTGTGAGTTCTAACGGAAAGAGTCCTAAACGTCCCTTTCCCTCTACAATAGCCCACAATGATGATGATCGCATATTATTATTGTTGTTGTCTGTTTCTGTTCCCTTCACTATTGCCATGGCGGATCCCCGGCGCACTACACGCAGTCGATCCCCCGGCTGAGTTTTTAAATACGCATCCGGGAATGGAGACTCCGCTGGGGGAATATACGGGAAGGCCACAATACGCCAAGACATTGTTATTATTATTATTATTATTATTATTATTATTATTATTCTTTGTTTTTGTTTTTTTCTTTTTTTGAATTTGTATGTATATGTAAGTGTATGTGTGTGTATCTATTCAAGCAGAAAGAAAGAAAGAAAAGATAATAAAATAATAACGAAAAATTAAAAAAAAAAAAAACCGTTAAAGCAATGATTAACATATAGGAGAAGGAAACAGAGAGAGAGAGAGAGAGAGTGAGAGAAGGAAAAAAGGCTCATGTATATCGTACTTCTTCTCTTATTATTGGGAAATGACTGTATGTGATAATCACGAATGGAATATTGTGAAATGTGATGTCTGAATGAATCTTTTTTTCTTCTTCTCCTTTTTATTGCAGGATTTTTAAACGATGTACTTTCCCAAAATGTTTTCTTTTTTTTTTTTTCTCTTTCACTTTTGCCTTTATTTTCTTCATTGCTTCTTCTTCCTCACGTCTTCTCAACAGCCAAGAAAAAATAAAAGAAGAAGAAGAAAAAAAAGATCATTATCATCATCATCATTCCTTTGGCCGGGTTTCCCCACATGTACAGACCACCTTCTCTCTATAGTTCTGCCGATGGCACTTCAGACAATACCAATCCCCACGTGACCAGAAGGAAAGCACATCGGAGCGAATCCCATCAACGGCGGGCAGTTGACACACCTGACAGCGTACATCACTGCAGCGATTCACCTTATGGCAGGCACACCGCCAATGTTGTCCATTATTCACAGACTGATGATGCCACTGAAGACCACAGGACTCACATGAACTTTGTCCATGCACAATACGAGCCACCTTTAAAGCCGTTTCTTTCTTTTTCGAGTTATTTTCATTTCCATTTCCATGTGTGGATGTTGTTGTTGTTGTTAAGGTTCCACCTTGACGTTCCAAAGCCACTACATGCCGTGAGGCCTTATTCACATGTTCACAACCCTCACAGTACCAATTCGTTGTGTGTGCAAAGTCCCACACACGCAGTAGTTCCTCCAACGTTTTATTTTGCGCCACCCGCCGTGGGAGTCGACATCGTGTGCAGGAGACCACAGCGGCATTACTGACTTGCCCGCAGGCGCAGAGCCACGCGTCACTGCGAGTGGAGGCCGTCGCCCCGTGCAGAGAAGCCCGACAGGCCCCACACCGCAGTTCCGGTGCCAGTCGTGGAAAACAATTATGTAATCCAAAGATACGAGTGGTGTGTACACGATCAGTGGGTTCTGAACCATACATTTGTGCATTCGAGAGTTGTTGAGAGGACTTACATGAGGGACAAATAACACTGAAATCAAATCTCTCTCGATGACAACTTTTACATTGAGATGACTGCAAAGCATTAGACTCCGCACATCCACCACAACGCCAACGTGAAACTCGATTGCGAGTGACGATTACAGAACCAACAGCCGCTCGTTGAATCTCCGCCGGCACGCGTTCATGATGGACCACCCGCAGTTCCACCTCCACACTCCGCTGCACCCCACAACAACGACAAACCACATCCCGATCAAAGTTAAACTCACAACATTTACTGCAGAACCACGTGAGGGGATTCTCACGCCAGCGGGATACAGCCGCAGCGGCATCATGGCGAACGGTATAGCAGTGATCACACACAGAACGAGAGCGGTGCGGCATACACTGCAGACAGACACCACACACCCAACCACCACTCGACACCGCCGCCGATCCCTCTTCTGTTAACTCCACTTGCCGTAATGAAGAGAGTTGATCCGCCGTTAAGGGACGCGGCTGTAGGAGTAATCCACTCTCCAGCAAACTCGTACTACTACCAGGATTACTTACATTACACTCTTCAGGAGTGGAGTAAAATGCCGATTCCTTTTCCTGGGCTCGGCGTATATCGTGTCCACCATTAGGAGCTCGTGTGTTAAATTCAATGTCATCCACTGGCCACGGTGGGAGTTCAACCACAGTAGTAGTAGCAGTAGCAGAAGAAGGAGTTGCAGTTGTTTTGTTTGTTGTTGTTGTTGTTTCTCTATCATTATACCATGCGCTACGCAGAGAGGGAGAAATAAAACTCGGCTCATCTTTGCTGTGAAGATGTTCAGGGGGAACCACAACACGTCCTGTGAAGTGACGCCAGAGTAACAAAGCGCCATATCCACTATAAACAGAGAGGGTCCATCGTCGCATTGATTGATGTTCTTTATTCAATATATATATATATATTATATTTTTTCGTTTCAATGCCCTCGAGTGTTGAGCTACAACCACAGTTTCTCATAAATGTACAGAATAAAAAAACAAAAACAAAGGAGTAATAGGAAGAACCAAGGGAAATAAAAAGAAAGAAAGGAATATATATAATAAAATAAGGCACATACAAAGGATACAACAACAAGGAAAGAGAGTAAAATTATCATGGTGTAACAAATACGATTTTCGTTATTTGAACAACAGAATGATAATATGATGCAAACTACAGTATTAGTATTAGTAGTTGTAGTTGTAGTTACTGTAGTTGTAATACGACGAGTAAAAAAAATCAATATGCATACGTCAGGAGTGAAAAAAAAATAGGGTAATGTATATAGCTCCTGAATGAAAAATCCAAGAAACCATACATATACCCTGAAGAAATAAACTAAAAATACAACCAGAAAAGAAAATAATAATAATAATAATAATAATAATAATAATAATAATAATAATAATAAAAGCAAAGAAAAAAAAAAAAACACCTGGTTTCTACTGTCTGCCTTTCTCTCTTCACTCCGGAGGTGGCGGCGGTGGTGGAATATCATCATCATCAGTATCACTACTAACATCACTTTCATCATTATCATCCCCGTCTTCTTCCTCTGGTGGAGGTGGTGGCGGTGGTGGTATATCATCATCATCACTGTTATTGTTATTACTGTCTTCATCTGAAGAAACATTCTCATCATTACTACTCTCTTGTTCACTTCCTACTTCTTCTTCCATCGCTGGAGGAGGAGGAGGAGGTGGTGGTGGGGCTATAGAATCATCATATTTCTCTTCATCCACATTCTCTTTTTCTTCACTCTTCGCATTCGTTGAAGAGACCCCGCGTGGTAACTCTATACCCTGCATGGCCAGTCGCAACATCTTCTCTCTGTGTTCCTCCAATGCCTTTACTTTCGCCTCCTTAAAGGCCGCCTTACGTTCTTCTTGTTTGTTTTTACTGTGAATAGCACTCTCTGGAAGAATGCGGAGATGCGGTGCGAGAAGATCAATCTCCACTTCATCATGACTGCCCATGATGAGACGTTCACGTGGGAAGTGAATGGCCCGTTGACTCTTCGCAGCACTCATCACACTTGAAAGGCGCTCCTGAAATAAATCCCGCAGGGTCTCATCCACGTAGACATCACCCCACGTGAGAATTCGTGGACCCGCCGCTGTTGTTGTTGTTGTTGATTTGTGTAATGATTGAGAGACTCGCTGCAGCTCACGTAGTAGGACGTCCACATCAGCGTTTGTATCGATAATAACTTCTACCATTTGTATTTTTTTTATTTTTTTCAAAAGAGCACGATATTAGTTTTACAATAATATAAATAAATAATATAAATATAAATCTCTGATACTCCCCTTTTTTTTCTCTCTTTTTTTCCTTTTTTTTTTTTTTTTTACAACTCCTGAGGTTCTCTGAATTCCTATTCGTTCAGACTGGCCTATCCCTTTACAGTAGAAGTAAGCACATATAAACCATCAAGAAAGTAAAAAGAATAAAAAAAAAAAGAAACGTAAAAGAGTTAAACATCAAAAAGAACAAGAGAGAAGGAGACAGAGAGAACACCAGAAAAATAAAATATAAAAGAAAAAGACTTCTATTTTTTTTTTTCGCATTTCTTATCCAAACTGTCTATTACAGCAAAAATACTCATCCCCTTTTTTCTCCGGCAAACATCCGCATTCACTTATCGAAAGAGACAATACAAACCGGTTGCTGTGGTGTAAACCACTAGGAAAGAAAGAACGAAAAAAAAAAAAAAAAAAAAAAACGCAATAAGTAACAAAGGACACATTACTCTCTCTCTCTCTCACTATATATATATACGTTGCTCTCACTATTAACTTTTACACTGTAATTTACAAAAAAAAAAAAAAGCCTCCTCCATTATTAAGAAAACGAATGAGGAAAAGACGGATAGCAGAGGAAGAGGGAGAGGGAAAAAGAAAAAAAAAAAAAGAAACACCAACGGGTACCAAAGAAAAAAAACGCAGTTGTGAAGAAAAAGAAAAAAAAATAAAATAACCGGCAGATATTAAAAACTCTGTAGGTGTTGTTTATACCAATCCGGCCTCTCGCAACTCCATAACAGCTTCTTTCACTCTACCATTACGAAGAAGTGACTGTGCATGCTTTTTCACCTCCTTTTCATGTTTTCTCTGCTCTCGAATGGTAGCATGCGGTTCACGTTTAACACTGCAGATATCATGCTGTTTGTATGGACCCCCACACCACTGACAAATGTACTTCCCACCTTTTTTTCCTAAAAGACGATCCCCACTTGATGTAGTAGTTGTAGTAGTTGTTGTAGTTGCTGTAAGAGCAAAACTACCACCTGTTGTGTTTGTTGTGGTTCTAGAAACAGATTCCATCGCCGGTGAGTAAATACGACGATAGTGTGATAGAGAGAGATTGGTTGATTGATATGGAGCTGGAGAGATGGGCCTACAGTTCTGTTCAGAGCAATTTTTCCAATTATTCACTTTTTCACCCGTTATCGTTCTTGGTGATGTTAATCTTGTTGGTGTTTTTACTCTTGTTGTTGTCATTACTGAGACTGGCTCTAAGACTGGCTGTAGTGAGAGTAGTGGTGATGGTGAGATTAGTCGATTAGAGTAACGTCCAAGATGTTTCTTCTTATTAAGTGTAAAATGACTACAAGAAGAAGAAATTTCCATATTGCGAGATGTATTTGTGGATTCATCCGCAGAACGGTGACAAGAGAATGATCGCATATTTGAAGACTCTGCATGTATGGCCGGTGGAAAAGAGACAAGACCTTCACGAGATTTACTCCGTGGTGTACAATATGTATTTCCAAGCCTCTTTGGAGTATTATTAGTTTTAGAAATATCAATCTCATTATTCTTTTGTCTCTTTCTTGCTTCTTCTTGTTCTTCTTCTTCTTCTTCTATTGCTGCTCTCTGAGAAATTAGTGATATATCTATTTTTTCCTTTTCCTCCTTCTTCTTTGATCGCGCAGAACTAGACTTATTTAAACTATTCATATCATTCTCTTCTTTTTTCTCTTTATTTCTCTTTTTTCCTTCTCCCCCCTCTGCCTCTTCTGCATTAAAATGATTACTGTTAACTGTATAAAGAGAATCCAATAACCCATTCTCAACTTCATTCTCTTTTCTTACTATTATTTCCAGTGGTGATCCAATTAGGAATATGTTTCCCACTCCCTTTTTCTGCAGTCTCTGTTGAGTGGATGTTAACTGCTGTGGAATGGGTATTGTTTCTGATGTCAATGCTAATACTTCTTCCCCACTCGTTAGAGTATCAGGGGAACTTTGGTGGCGGAAACTCATCACTGTATGTAGTGTCCCTTCTTCATTACTATCACCCATAGTGAAGAGACGAATATTATCAAGTTCGGTTGGGAAATCCTTTTGAACATCACCTTCCCCATCACATTTGATTTCAGTTGTTAACTCTGGTAATCTTTTTTCTTCCTTTTCTTCTTCTTTTTTTTTCTTTTTTTCATTCTTTGTTTCCATCATTCGTTTAACTTCAGAGGGAGAAGGTACTAGATTTGGTGGAAGTAAGCGAGAAACAACACTGTTCTTTTGTTTGGATGGTATTAATGCCGCTTCAGATCCACTCCCTCTTAACTTGCCTGTTGATGATATCCCTCTTTTTCTCTCCTCACTAGTGTTTGCAAAATTGGAGAAGTGTTGCGTAGAATTATTACGGCGAGCAGTCGTTATCTCTGTTGCCTTTACGGCGGGAGGAACACATTTAGATGATGGATGGGATACCATAGAGATACCATTTGTTTTCGTAGAAAGCGGAACCGAAACGGAGAACTCTGTAAAGTTTTCAGTTGTGGTTGTTGTGGTGTTGGCAGCGGATGATGATGACGAGGATGCTGATCTGTTTGAAGAAAATATTGAAGTGTTATTTACTATAGATGATGGATATTCATTTCCCACTTCAATAAATTGTTTACTAGGTGTTTTGGTTACCAGTGGTTTGTTTGCTTTTGAGATGGTTCTTGTTTCTGTTGTTGAGGATACTGGAGTGAAATTATTTTTCTTCTTATTTGTGGCTATATTCACAGAGCGACGGCGTTGCATCCATTCCCGTCTATTAAATGTAGCCGTCATACCATTTTCACTCATCATTGCAGGAGAAGCTATTCCTGTCTTTCCTTCTTCTCCTATTGTTAGTTGTAATTGTAATTGTTGTTGTTTTTGTTGTTTCTCTGGATTTCGTAATAATCGTTGTTGTTGTTGTTGTTTTAATAATATTGATAATAATGGCGATGATGGTTCTCTCCTTGATGTTGCGGGAGTCCCACAGACTGATGGAAAAGATAAGACATCTTCCTGTTCCAGTGGTCCATGTGCATTGTGTGGAGTACACTTGTGGAGGCCATTCTTATCATGTATGCTGACAACTCTGCCGCGGCTTTTACTAGAGTTATAATTATTATAATCACTTTTATTCTTCTTGTTATTATAATAATTATAATTATTATTGTTATTATTTGTATTTTTTTTACTATTCGTAGTAGTAGTAGTATTAATAGTAGTAGTATTCTTGATATTGTTGTGGTCTTGGAGAGTAATTGCGGTGTTTGAGTGGGAAACGGTATCACTAACACTCCTGGCACACGTTGCTCCCATTCCTTATCTTCAAGAACGGAGAATAACCCAACAAAGGCATCTTTTAAAAAAATAATAAAAAAAGTAAATAATAACAATAATAATAATAATAGGGTGAAAAGTAAAAAATTAAATAAAGAAATAAATTAAATAAAATAATAAATAAATAAATAAATAAATAAAAACAGAAATAGCAACATTAGAAAGGTAATATATATGTGTTATGAATAGGGAAAAGGAAGAAAAAAAGAAAAAGAAAAAAACTCATGTTTTATTAAATATCTTTTTTTTTCCTTTTTTTTATTTTTTCTCTTTGTTTTGTTGTTCGTCATTTCCAATCGAAACCGTAAGTCTATTATTATCCACAATACCATTACTGTTTACTATTATTATTAATTATAATAATTATATAGTTATAGTAGTAGTACTAGTAGTAGTAGTGGTATTACTCCACCTGTGAGGGGAGAGACATCCAAACTGCGATACGATCGGCCAACGCTGCCGCTGCTGTAATTAACGCCCTTCGCTCCTTCTTCAATGCGGTGCTATCACCCACAGGCGCCAAGTCCAACTGCACAATGAACTGCGTGAGTAACTCATCCGCCTCTATGGCCTTTTGATGAATACACTCCCGCAGTATATCCTCCGTTTCTTCCTCTGCAATCACAGGGTTACTAGACTGCCCCAGATCAGCACTTTTATTGGGTTTATCCCCTATAGTCGTAGTAGTAACAGCAACAGTATTAATAGTATTACCCTCATTCTGATCAATATTACCATTATTTATTTTCTCATTTATATTATTATTAGTAGTATTATTATTAATAGTTGTTGTTGTAGTTGTCGTTGTTGTAGTAGTGGTAGTAGTACTAATAGTATCTGTATTATTGATATTCGCACAACCCGTAGGAGAAATTAACGTTTTCTGTGAAAGTTTTCTCTTACGCCACTCTTCGCCCATACATTCCAGTTCAGACAACGCACGTAAAAGTGGGGCCTCATGTGTTCGCTCCACTCGCCGTTGAAACATACGGAATGCACTCTCCGTGGCATCTACAAAGTTAATATCATCATCATCTGCAACAGGTGTAGAGGTAAATAAAAACGGGCATGTACGCCCTTTATGATTCTTATTATTATTATTATTATTATTATTATTATTATTATTATTATTACTATTACCAGAGAAACAACATCCTTCATTTCTTTTCATTCCATCATCCGATCGGTTATCCACGATACGAAGAAAAGGTGGAAACCATGACCACTGTAGTTTCCAATTTGTGGATGTTTCTGAAGATGTTAAATTCCCTTTTTCTATTTGTTGTTGTTGTTTATTGTGTGGTTTTCTGCAAATACAATACTTATATCTAAACGCAATTCCCACCGCTGTTGTGAAGAGGAGTGCCGATATCATATATGGATGTGTACGGCACTGTAAACCCATCCAACGGCGTACACGTCGCAGAAGCAGAAGAATATCTTCTCCTGTACTTTGCTCAACATCCAAAATCACTTTTGTGGGTGTGCGTTGTGAAGAAGAAGTAGTAGAAGTGGAAGAAGGAGAGGCCTTTGACTCTGAAGACCGTGAGGTCTCGGATGTAAACAGGTTGAATGGACTCCACATCACCCCTAATAGTGAATATATATATATATATTTATATTTATATATATCTATAGATGTAGATGGGGGGTACAGTTAAGTCTTTCAATACTGTTTATATACCGTTGTGTAGAGTCTATATATATATATATATATATATAGACACACTTGCTGTATAATGTAGAGTGAAAAAAAAGGGAATGAGGTGAGAAGAGATGAATAAGATGAAGGGAATATGAAGAAAGAGAGAAAGAAAGAAAGAAAGAAAAAGAAGAGAAACAAAATAAAAAACAACCACCATAACGAAATATATATATATTTATTTATTTATACGTACGTGCCTTTTAATAAAGAAAAAGAAACAAAAGAAAAAAAAAATGGAATCCCAAACCATTTCGGTACTACTATTAATAATAATTATATTATTTCTCTTCTATAGTGCAAGCAAAAGGAGTATAGCAACAAACACTGATAAACACACATCTACACACAGAGAGAAATATATATATATTCTTGTACTCAAGGTTTAAGCTTTAAGTGAGACATTCATTCGCTTCAATACCACTCCAACAGCATCCATGAGAGCCACACAGTCTGGCATGTGAATATCACCAAGAGTACCAATACGAAAAGTATCTGCAAAGGATGCCTTTCCAGGATAAATTACAAATCCCTCTTCCTTTAATCCATCATAAAATTTTGTAAAATTCCAATTAGATACCTGTGGACTTTTAAAAGCCGTAATAATATATCCATAGGATGGCTTTGTATAATCCAGAAAAAGTTCAAATCCATATTCCTCTGTTATGCGTTTAACAATGTATGTATTCATCTCTTTATATCGCTTGGCCCGTGCCAACACACCACCTTCTGCTGCGTGTTCTTTCAATGCCTGATGAAAAGCCACAATTGCCTGCACGGGTGGTGTTTGATTGAATTGACCGCCACTCTTCTCCAGTCCATCCCATTGACTGACGATATCTAATGTAAAACTCGGTGAGTTTCCCCGACACTTCTCTAGTAATGATTTACGCGCCACTACTAGTGAAAAACCAGGAACACCTTGAATACATTTATTTGCAGAAGTGACCAATACATCACAGACATCAGGAACATGGAAATCCACCGCCCCAAATGAACTCATCGCATCCATGAGAATTGTCGCTTCTGGACGATAACGGCGAACCATATCACTAATCTCATGAATAGGATTAAACATTCCCGTACTGGTTTCACTATGAACCACACCCACGGCTGTGAGTGGACCAGAGAACTCACGAAGTTGAGCCTCAAATGCGGCAAGATTCATATCTACACCTTCTTCCCAATCAAATGTCATTAATTTCGCCCCTCCACGTTTCTTTACAATAGATGCCATTCGATAGGAATAGGCTCCATTGCGCAAAACCAAAAAAGCCCCAGTCTCTTGTGGAGATATAATACTGTTAATCACCGCCTCAATCCCCATCGTACCACTTCCCTGCATCGGCACACACGCCCAGTCCTTCTCGGGAGCAGCGGCGATCTTCAATACATCCCGTCGGAGTTCAGCCACGGATTGGAGAAAATCGTTATCACGACTGCCGTAATCGTCCATTTGGGCCGCACGAACAGAGGCTGAGGTGCAAAGTGGACCAGCTGTGAAGAGAATTCCATGTTTGCGGTTCACCCGCTGGGCATAATTACCAGTAGACATTTGCGCAATACGTCCCAATCGCATTAAAACTTTTCACACCGTTAAAGATCCTCTTGCTAAGATAATAATATACTCACAAACAAACAAGGAAAAAAAGTTTCCTTTTTCTTCTCACTCTCTTTGTTCTTTTTTTTTTTTGTTACTGTTTTTGATTTTTCCCTCTCCAGAGTAATACACTAGATGATAACACTTATAATGGTCCTAACTATACATATATATATATATATATATATATATATATATACAGGTCCAAAAAAAAAAAAAAGAAAAAACAGGTAAGAGAACAGATATATTACATACAAGTTAAATGAAGACGAGAGACGACCAAAAAGAAGAAAAGACAAAAAAAAAAGAAGAAATAACAGAAAAGAAAAAAACACATCAGCAAGAAATAAAAAAGTAAAAAAAAAAACACTCGTTCCGATTTTAAAAAACAAACAAACACATCATAGTGTGTCCTCACTCTTTCTCTCTCTCACAAACACAGACACACAAATGTATATAGATTTATATATATATATATATATATATATATATACATACGTATTCAGTCTCTTATTATTCCACCTTTTAAAGTCTCTACGGCATCACCATGCACAACTTAAGCCACGGCAACCCACCACGGCGCTTCCAATCACGCAACACATACTGCCAATCAGACCGCTCTGCAATTACCACAACATCACCCGCACTGTCAACATACCGCAGACAAAGCGACTCCGCATCCATTTTCTCCGCCTCGCTATTCACATCCAACGGGAAGAGCAACACATAATCAAGTCCACCAGACCTCAACGCTGCCATTACACGTCGTACAAGACCGCTCAAATGTGTACGCTGATGAATAGGGCGAAGTGCAAGATGCAATGGCAATACCAATCGACCAGAAATCTGTTCAACATTACTATCAGTATTATTGGGATGAGTATTAGTATTAGTATTAGTAGTATTATCAGCTGAAGGATGCACATCTGTTTCAGAGCGCACAATACACAGTGTAACGGGTACATCATCCTCACAAGACCTGTTATTATCATTACTACTACTACTACTACTACTACTACTACTACTACTATTACTACTGCTAGTAATAAAAGTACTCGTACTAGTAGTAGAACTAGTAGTAGAAGAAGTAGTATCAGTATTATAACTACCATCAGTACTCGTACTAGTAGTATCGCTATCGTCACTTTTACTTTTGCTGAAATCAAGGAGTTCGGGTGGGTTTGCCAGCCAATGCGCACGGCGTGAGGCCACTGCGGCGGCATCCTTTGCGATGCGCAGTACCTCCTTTGTGACCATAGTCTGTTGCAATTTGCTGCGGGCAGAAAGTGGTTGGCAAACAGAATCCGTTAGACGATTTAATCGATCTCGAAAAATCGTTGTCTTATCAAAAAGAGAATCATTATTATTGTTATTATAACTATTATTAATATTATTACTAATACTACTATTAGGAGTATTAGTAATAGAGACGGCTGCTGCTTCTTTTGGTGAGGTTCTTGGTGTTGTTGTTGCTTTTGCTGCTGCTGTTGTTGCTGCTGCTGACATTTCTGTTCCTCTTGTTCGCATGGCTGCTGCCAAAGATAAGGGATTCTGCGTTACTGAGAGTGACGATGGTGGATCTACACTACTATCCATCACGGTATCTTCCTGTTGTTGTAATGTCATTGCAAGTCGTTTGGCATTAAAAGACTTTGCGTATAATTCATTTAATTCCGCCCGCATGCGTAAACCTTCGGCCTCACGAGCCGCATACTCCTCTCGCATCTTTTTTAGTCGCCACTGTCGCTGTACATAACTGGACATAATTTTCTTACGCAACATCGCCTCTAATGTCTCTGTTGAAAGCCCTTGACATCTACCCACAACTACAGAAGCACCAGCAGAAGATAACTGTTGTTGTTCTTCTTCTTTTTCTTGTTCTTCTTCTTTATTATTATTATTATTATTATTATTATTATTATTATTATTATTATTATTATTATTATTACTGTTATTATTAAGGCAACTTGTCGACATCTGCAGAGAACTAGATGGTACAGAGAGACGTCTCAGTACTTCTGCTGCAGCTGCTGTAGCAGAGGTGGCCACAGCCTCTTTATTACATTCTTTCCGAGTCAAAAACTCCTCTTCCTCATTTATTATTGTTTTTACTGTTCTTGTTGTTGATGATGATACTGTTGTGTTTGTGGTGTTTGTGGTTGTTGTTAAGATTGTCTGTTGTTCCTTTTGAGAGAAACTGGGATCATGACATGTGTGATGAGTAGAGGCTCGACGTCTATTATGTGGAGATACTAATGAGAAATGATCCTCATCTGGCCAATCTACACATACCACATCATCATCATATCCTTCTCGTAGACTTAATGAAAAGAATGCATCTGCATGCCGCAGCCATGGTATACGTTCAATTGTCTCTGATACTACTTGACGAGTAGCGGATCGCATGGCAAGATCCAAATCTACTATCATCATATTATTATTATTATTATTATTATTATTATTATTATTATTATTATTAGTGTTATTATGACTACTAGAATGTGTTGTTAACTCTACAGACTCTCCTATACGACCACTACATCCTTCTCCTTCTCCTTCTCTTCCTCCTTCTTTTAAAGCGGATGGTGTTAGGAAAGACACTGATGATGATGATGAGATTGGACGTGATGCTGCCTGAATGACATCATCTCGTCTATCTGCTGGCGTCATTTCAAGTAACGCCTCATAAGAGGCACTCACACGACTGGCTAATAAGATTCCAGCTTCTACATTCTTATTTGAATTACATAAACTACTCATATGATCGGTGATGAGTAAAAGAGATGTATGGTGTCCCTCAATATGATTACTAACTGCAGCTCCTTCTTCTTCTTCTTTTTGTTCTTCTTCGTCTCGTTCTTGTACTTCTTCATTATATCTAGAGGAATGTAAAGAGTATAAATGACGTTCTTCTGCGGATACTGATGGAGAGCGTGATGGATTCATAATAAAGAATTCCCGTAATAACTGTGCTGCCGAGGGACGTTTAACGGGATCCACTATCAACATACGCTCCACTAAGGCTACAACCAATCGATGTAATGTCTCCTCTTGTGCTGAGAAAGCACTACCATACATTTTTTCTAATTCTTCCTGTTGTGTAGATGAAAAGATGTGTGGACGGTGTAATGCCTCTCTATCATATTCTCCTTCCGTAACGACGTGAATTTGTGCTAATACATTATCCGCCGCAAAGGGAAGTTTCATACAATACATCTCATATGTTAATACCCCTAATGCCCAGACATCTGCATTAAAGGAGTACGTTTCGCCTAGACAAAGTTCTGGACAAAGATAAAAAGGAGTTCCAATAAATGTAGTAGCCATTGGATCTGTGATGTTAACAAGTCGACTAACTCCAAAATCACCTATTTTCACCATACCCGTCTTTGATAAATAGATATTGGCTGGTTTTATATCTCGATGAATAATATAACAACTGTGTAGATAAGATAAGGCTTCCAAACATTGACGTACGATATCTGTAATTCGATAGGACTCTATCCATGTAGGGGTTGATATCTTTTCTCCTAATGATAATGATAATGATGATGATAATAATAATAATCCATTACTGTTGTTAAGTCTATTTCTACTTCCAGCTTCCCATACATCTCTAGATCTCCGCATACTATTCTCCTTCTCTCCTCGTTCCTGTAATCGACTCCATGGTCGCTGACTCTTTCCATTTTTTCTCTCTTCTTCTCCTTCTCCTTCTCCCTCCTCTCCTACACAGTCGCGAAGAAGTGTTGCCAAATCTCCACCCTCCGCATATTCCGCCACCAAACACAATTGTTTCTCATCATCAATAAAACTTTCAATGTACTGCAGTATATTTGAATGGCGAATATGTCGAAGAATCGCTACTTCATTCATCGCGAGGGTAATCTCCTTATCGGTGAGGGTCTGCAAAGGCACCACTTTCACTGCCACTGTCTGTTGATACCATGGACTGCTGGGGAGCATATCGTGACTGAGAAAGACACTGCCAAAACTCCCACTTCCAATCTGATAACGGCGTGGAAATCGATTCCACTGTGAAATACCTTCACTTTCTTTCCCAGTGTAACTATCATTGTAAACATCATTATCATCATAAGCCGCACCATCATTCTGATGATGATGATGATTATTATTATTATTATTATTATTATCCTCATTGCCAGTCATCATAGTAGTAGAAGGAATACGGGCAGGAGGAGGAAAACTATCCTTCGAGTGAGAAGTACTGCACATTAACGTACTCTTCCCCGTAGGGAGATTGTGATACATTCAATGAAACTCTATACATGCTGATGGATATAAATATACATATATAGTGTTAACCACGTGGAAGGTAATTAAAAAATAGAAATAAGTATAAAAAAAAAGGAAAGAAAGTAAAGATAATAATAATAATAATAATAATAAAGCAGTAAAATAGATAATTGATAAAGTTAAGATGTATTCATTGTGATTTCTATTAAATCATATATACACCTATTTATTTATTTATTTATTTATTTTAGTCCTCTACAGAACTCTGTATATATATATATATATATATATATACGGCTTTGTGTAAACCTGTACACGTATAAGTGTAGATTAATAATATTAATAGTTCTTTTCTTTTTTCTCTTTTTTCTTCTTCACTGGTATTCATATAGCAGTTCCCTCTCGTTCATTCCATTCTACAAAGAAGAAGGAAGATGGAAAACACAATAACCATCATCACAGTATCAGAAACAATAACACACACAGAAATAATAATAAAAAAAACACAATCAACGATAAATATATAGTCCACGTTATGTATTATATGAAAAGAAATACACTGACAATAAAAAAAAAGACAGAGAAAATAATAACAGATAAATAGATAGATTTGATTAGATAAGCATATAAATATACATGTATACCATCTCTATCTTTCATCTGAAATCATTTCATCCGACCGCATCCGAAAAAAAAAAGAAAAAAACAAGTAACATCACACACTCCCACGTAAAGGAGAGTAAGATGGGAAAACAACAGAAAACAAAAAAAAAAAAAGCAACTCTCCGAATAAAAAAAACAAAAAAAAAAAGATCAACTGTAAAAATTAGAAGAATATATATTTAAAATATCAACTGGTTATTATCACTGGTTGAACCTTCAACCACATTTTCTTCCATGTTTTGTTATTGTTTTTGTTGTTGTTTTTTTTTTCTTTTTTCCCTTTTTTTTTCTCTTTTCTGCTTCAGCCATCGTAGTAACCCGACAATGACATTATATATATATATATATATATATA